CTTCCCGTCTCTTCTCTCTTCATGCCTCCTCTTCTTCTTCTTTTATTTATTTATTCATTAAGCCTTCTGAGGCATTTTTGTTCCTCAGTGCCGAACTTGTGAGATGAGCACCCAAGACGTTTTCGAGTCTTTTCTTTTCATTTTTAATCTGAAAACCACGTTCAGAGTGTTCACTGCATTTCACTATAGAAAGAGATGACTGACTCAGGGGCTCAGAGCGAATTCTCTCACTTTTCGCCAAGGGGTCTGGGTTCGAATTCCTGGGACAATCTCATGCGAAATTTGTATCCAGAGATGAGTGAACATGGTATCACAAGGCCTAGTCCAAGTGTCCTGAAACCTTGCCTCTATCTAATTCCTCCAAATTCTGGCCTCTGGTATAGTGGATGCAGGAGTGCAACTAGGAGACATGTACGCACAAAATGCCTACCTGTCTAATTGCTCTTACAACTAAACCTGCAGATGACACGTGACATTCAAATGCGGATAATATTAATAGAGGATTAACTCCCAAAGCGCAAAAGCATTCACGCCTCTGGGGCTTGGAGACGCATGCATCATCAGGGCACAACCAATGTTTAAAAAATACTCTTGAGATTTGTTTAACTGTGTAAAATGTGGTGTGCGTGCGCGTTTGCGCCGTGCGTTGCGCGTGTGTCTTTTGTGTGTGGTGGTGCTTGTGTGGTGTTGTGTACATTTTGGTGTTTTGCGTTTGCGGTGTGTGTGTTTGTGTTGTTATTTTGTTGTGCGTCTGGGCGTGGTGTGGTTGTGTTTTTTTTTGGTGTGCGTATTTTTTGGGCGGTTTGGTTGTGTGTGTATTTTGGTGGTTGTTGGCGGTGCGTTGTTGTGTTGGTTGAATTTGTGTGCCGTGCGGTGTTGTGTGTGTGTGTGTTGTATTGTGCCGGCGGTTGCGGTTCCATTAGCACAATTTTTTCCTGTAGGTGGTGGTAAATTAGGCTCAGCAGTTCTCGGAAACCACCATAATTTTTACGTATACCATATAATATATAATATACTATACATATTTTAAAAATAATGGTTGGAATCTCTTCCGTGTTGTTGTTCTTCTTCTTCTTCTTCTTCTTCTTCTTCTTCTTCTCATGCTTCTTCTTCTTCTTCTTCTCATGCTTATTCTTCTTCTTCTCATGCTTATTCTTCTTCTTCTCCTCCTCATGCTTATTCTTCTTCTTCTTCTTCTCCTCATGCTTTATTCTTCTTCTCCTTCTCCTCCTCCTCATGCTTTATTCTTCTTCTCCTTGTCCTCATGATTCTTCTTCTCCTTCTTCTTCTCCTTCTTCTTCTCCTTGTCCTCATGCTTCTTCTTCTCCTCCTTCTTCTCCTTCTTCCCCTTCTCCTCCTCCTCCTTCTCCTTCTTCCCCTTCTTCCCCTCCTTCCCCTCCTTCTCCTCCTCATCCTCCTCCTTCTTCTTTTATTATTTATTCATTAAAGCCTTCTGAGGCATTTTGTGTTCCTCAGTGCGAATTGTGAGATGAGAACCCAAGACGTTTTGCGAGGTCTTTTCTTTTCATTTTTAATCTGAAACACGTTCAGAAGTGTTCACTGCATTCACTATAGGAAAAGGATGACTGACTCAGTGGCTCAGAGCGAATTCTCTCACCTTTCGCCAAGGAGGTCTGGGTTCGATTCCTGGACAATCTCATGCGAAATTTGTTCCAAAATGAGTTTAACTGTATCACAAGGCCTAGTCCAAGTGTCCTAAACCCTGCCTCTATCCTAATTCCTTCCCAATTCTGGCCTCTGGTTAGTGGTGCAGGAGTGCATACTAGGAGGCATGTACGCAAAAATGCTACCTGTCAATTCTCTTGACAACTAACTGCAATGACACGTGACATTAAATGACGGATAATAGTAATAGAGGATTACTCCCAAGCGCAAAGCAATCAACGCCTCTGGGGCTTGGAGACGCATTGCATCAATTCAGGCACAACAAATGTTTAAAAAATACGCTGAGATTGTAACTGTGTAAATGTGTGTGCGTGCGCGTGCGCGTGCGTGCGCGTGTGTCTTTGTGTGTGTGTGCGTGTGTGTGTGTGTATTTGTGTGCGTGCGTGTGTGTGTGTGTGTATTTGTGTGCGTGCGTGTGTGTGTGTATTTGTGTGCGTGCGTGTGTGTGTGTATTTGTGTGCGTGCGTGTGTGTGTGTGTATTTGTGTGCGTGCGTGTGTGTGTGTGTGTGTGTATTTGTGTGCGTGCGTCCATTATCAATTTTCCTTAGTGTGGTAATTAGGCTCAGCAGTCTCGAACACCCATAATTTACTATACCATATACTAATATACTATACATATTTTAAAAAACTAATGGTGGGAGAATTTTTTTGACTTTTCAAAAGCTATGAGAGGTGGCAAGAATAATGTATTGTACTCTTACAATAGTACAATACATTAATATAACTATACACATCAGTTTTACTTATTTTGACTTTGAAATGTGTTTTGTATGGTTTTGGGGGGGGCATTTTTCATCACAAGATGTATTTTCATGTTTCATACAGACAGTGGTGGATTCATGGTGTCAAGGAAACCATTTCATTCTTGGGTCAACATTCTTCATTTCTAAATTGATTCTATTTCTTCAAAACTTTACCATATGTTGATTGCATTTTTCCCTCCTTTCTTTTCTCCTTTTTTTTCACTCTAACAATTAATTTTTTTATTACTTCAATTATCTTTTGTAGGTCGAAACTGAAATTGTGTCCCCACCCCACCTTTGAGGATTGATCTTTGATCTGCTCCTGCCCACAGAATATTTGTTACTGGAACTTCCAAACAGCAGTCCTAGTAGGAGGCATTATTGCCCGTTTTAGGAAACTTATGACTAATGCTTTTTTTTTTTCTTACGCTTTGAAATTTAAATATCTCTTTTCTTCTTTCGTGCTTTTTTTCTGTTTATTTCATAATATTTTATTACCAGAAACTGCCCTCCATTTATTCATTTTGATTGTGTCACCTTGAACTGAAGTTAGTTTCTTGTTAGGGCCAAGAGGATGAAGTTAACCGCAAGAAAGATGAAATGTCTGAAGGAATGAAAAGCGATCACTGGGTGATAGCTCAAGCGTTCAAACTCTGGGAAGAAGCTGAACGATATGGGAATGGACGCAACTTCTGCTGGAAGAATTACCTTTCTTCAGGCACCTTGGTGCTACTCAGGTCTGTAGTGTCTCGCTTAAAAAGTTCATATGTTTTAAAATTAAAAACAAATGTCAATTTGTTTGATTGATTAAAAGATACTGTTATATATTTTTTGGCCAGTGACTACAACTGTAGCTATTTAGATATATTATTCTTAATGGATAATATTCACACAAAAATTAAATCATTTGGTGCTACATAAATGTGAAGTTGTAGGTTTAAAATGAAACATCTATTCCAAATGATGAAATATGAATTCTTATTACTTGTTAACGTCAGATTTGTAGACAGTGATAAAATCATTATTGTCTGTTGACATAAGGTACCGTCTTTTAACTCACCACATTCCATGCATGCCTCTTCAAAGAGAGAGAGAGAGAGAGCGCGAGAGAGAGCGAGAGA